CCAACAGCCGAGGCACTTGAAATTCTTTTAGGCACGATTAGAGTAAATTAATCTATGAGACCTTGGGTGTGGTCAAATACATCAATCTAAACGGTTTGGCCTCCTGAGTCCAAAACTGTAATTAGATCTTAAATTAGTCAAGAGATGATGGAGCTAAAGGTTTGTACATGGAAGAAGAAGAAGAAGAAAAAAAAAAAAAGAATTTTTGATAGAGTACTTATACTAAAGATTTGTTTGTGAGTTTACTGAGTCCATCTGACTCAGATACTGATTTCGATTACAAGGTGATTTTAGTGTTAAGAATAAAATGCTTTTCACTTTAGTTTTCATATTTCATTAATTTAGCCTCTAGAAATCTCCAAAATGAATAACAAGTTTTTCAGTAAAACTATAATTTACCTATTATTTTCTCTACCCTAACACTATATGCAGCAAAATCAACAGTGTAGGGTAAAATGAAAAGTTGAAAAATTTGAAATTATTCATTTTCTTTCTAGAATGACTGAATATTGTAATAGACAATTATATGCTATTTATTCTTACAACCACAGCTAATACTTTTAAAATCTGAATGTTAAATTAGATTTATTGTTTTACAGCTACACTTAAGTATTGCAAAAGCAACTTATCATAATGGGGCAGCTTGATAAAGTAAGCATGGTCAAATCATAATCACGATTCAAACATAGCCCTGCATGTGCACTTGCTATCATAAGTAAATTTTTTAATTTAATTCTTTTTCCCTAAAAGTTTTCTTATCAAACCTAGCATTTCTAATTTTTACATTTCAGTTACATTCATAACAACAATAAAAAAATACACATAAAAATAAGAAATTCAGTATGTACGTGTAAACTCTTGCACTTTTTCAAGTTTTTGCTCTTAAGTCTCAACAAAACCATGCATTTCTGGAAAAGTTGTTGGGATTACATACAGTAATTTATATTTATTTCAAATATGTAACTTATGACACAATATATTAACATTTAAAAAAACAGTGTCATAAAACTGGCTTTCTAACTACTCTGTAAATAGGTTAAAATTAATCTGTTAACTGGTCAAGGTAATTTTGGCAATAGCAAACAATGATACTAACACCATATAATTAAAAACTGTCATCAGAACAATTTAGCCTCATAAAAAAATTCAATAAACTAAATATCAGAGAGAATTACTGACATTTTTTTGAAAGACAGGATATGATAGGAGGGTGTGGCATGTGGATTTGACTTTCTGGTTATGTCTCAGTCAAGCTAGAAGACTGAAGGCTATAAGCTTACATTATGGCTATGCAGTATCTATATCACAACTGTGTAGTTTGTAAAAAACTCAAAAGATCATATACATGTAAAAGAAAAATCTAACATGGACAATTTGTAATGAAGTGTCACGTGATAAAAAGTGAAAATTGAGAATTTATTCAAATATTTCCTTTTGAAACTAAGAAGTTAAAACTTAAATAACAACTTGAATTATAAACATTTTAATGCCAAGTTTATTTACATTCATACATTGATATTAAAAACAAATATATAAAAACAAAAAAGTATTTGAACAAACTTCACAGGTAATATTTCAAGATCATATACACAGTGTAAAATGAGTGCATTAGATTGCTAATTGAACATCAAACATTTTTATGACGAGTTACTGTATTAAGTGTAAAATACACATTTTTTTTTCAATCACTCTATTCATGTTATGATACAGAAATAAAGCACTCATTAGACTTACTTCAGAGGGGAGAGCAAAATTTCCATGTACTCAGGGGGGTAAATTTCTTGAGATTTTAATTTCTGCATTGAGTTTGTTCCATTTGCATTCTGCAGACCTTGAAATTCCTCTAACTGATGCCTATCAACTGATTGCTGAGAAGAGGAGCAATAGCTAGTTCTTTCTAAGGTGTTTCCAATATGATTAGTAGATGGGTAACTGATATTCGATTCTATAACAACAATAAAAAAGTAGCATTTAAAAAAATTTAAACAGTCTGGAAAAACCTGACTTTAATGCTAATGGATATTAACAAAAGTCAGTTCAACTTCTTAAAACACACAAACAATTTCTATATTGAAAGCTATAAACCTATGTCTTGGGAAGTGGGTTTCACCACTGAAAAAAAATTAACAGTATTCTTCAATGGATTCTTTAATACGTACTCATTATTTTCATTAACACTATAATATTTAAGAAACAAATGATCTGTGAACTAGAAAGCCACAATGATAAATATTTGATGAGGAAAACCATTTACACTTATAATAGTTCTTGGATTTATTGCCATGTTAGAAAATTAAATTTAAATTGGATGCTTGAAAAAAAAATTTAAAAACTTGAAAACTTGGCTCAAGTAAATGAAATCAAAGGTGTCCAATGTAGTTCACCAGATACAGAAATGATCTTGAGAGGTAAACATTCTTTATAACTGAGAAAAATTTGCTAATAAGACCATTTGTTATAATTATTAAATAATAAGCAAGATTTCTAATTATCATTATGCTACAACAACAAACTTCAAAAACACAATTAAATAAATACAACTAAACAAACACAAAGAAAACTGTACATTTGGGTTATTTTCAGGCCTATGGAAGTGAAACAGAATCTAACTTCAAGATTTTATGATGCCCCTTTAAAAAGTTGTCATAGAAATTTAGCACAAGCATCTGTAAAAATTACCAACAAACAATGAAATCTAAGCTTGACATCAGAGTACCTTAGTAACCTGGTACAGTGTTTTCAGAATATCAAAATGTTCTGATGCAAAATCATGTACCAAAAATGACATATTTAGAAAAACATTTACATGCCAACAAACTTTTTCCATACATTCAGGGGTCATAATAATAGGGTTTCTCGTCATCCAAAATGACCAATGTTTACCTCGAGGTCTTTCCAGGGGACAACCTGGCATAGACCATTATTCATGGAATTACAACATTACTAAATAACATGTCCCTGGAGGAAGTGATTATTATTTCCAATAAAATATTTTTGAACATTTTTTTGCCTTTTGTCTTGTGCAATATGCTGCTCTAAACAAATATGATGGACAACATGCAATGGAAAACAGCCATGAACATTTGGCTCTGCTGAAAGAAACCAGACCATGAATACAGTTCCGTACTTGCCAACAGATGTCACTGGATTGAGTAACTCCTCACTTTCATTTCATTTTTATTTGAGTGTGTTTCAAGTTTCCATAACATTTTTTTAAAGACCTTGCAAAAATGAGTAACTTCATTTAACACAGACAGAATGAGACTCTTTGCAAACTGTTGCATTGATTAACATTAAATCACCTTTGTGAATATATGTGCCTCATTGCTTTTAATTCTTAAATTTACAGCACAAAAACTTCTTAATGTATAAATTATTGAAAACAATTAGATGTTTTCTCTTAAAATATTAAAGTTCATCTTTTTTCTTCCAGTCTGCTGGTGTTGAATTGCGTTACTGTACATCATACCCCCAATATAGGCCTAATTAAAATAAAAAGATAAGTGAAACATACAAATCAAATGACCCACCCATTAAGAAATAGAAAACAGAGCAATTTCTAGATAAGTGGATCTGCTTGTAGATCTCAAAACACTTTGTAACTGGTTGATCATCATCACAGCTTGATTCAATCAAGAAACGTTAGATCAGTAACATTCACTTGTTTTGTGCAAATGCCAGCAAGACCACCAGAAACTTCATCCCTCCCAAAAGTTGTACTTTGAATGGATGAAAAAAGAAAGACTGACATTCATATCTTACATTACTCATAAGGGAAAACCTTAAGAGGTAAAATGAAAAAATCTGGATTTTTGGGCTCATTAACCCTATCACCACGGGTATCCTTTACTGCTCATGACACAAGGTTTTTGTGTCTTACATTCAGTAACTACAAAATTAAATGTAAATTATTCACTATAAAATTGTCATTGCTCAGGCAAACTATACTTTTTATAACCTTCAATTTTGTTTGGTTACAGAACTATCAAATAGAAAACACCTGCCACACCCACCTGTCACATCCTCTCTTTCAGGATTTGTTAATAGTTCTCTCTTACATTTAATTATATATTACCTATAACCAATAGAAACCCAATGTTTACATCTGTCAAATGATGTATTATATTACATTGTGTTCTGAATAGATAATCATCAACTTCACTAGTAATACAACTTTGGTTCCCATGGAAACATTTCTATCCCTGACACTGTATAGCTTAAATCTTGTTCTTTAAGTACACCTCAGTCAAAATATTGTACATGAATGGGATTGTAATGGAGGAAAAAAGCTATAGTTAAAATATGTTTAATAATGGCTGGAGACGGCTTGAATGGATAATAA